GCCCAGCTGGAATGCAGAATGGAGCCCCGAGCTCCCCACTGCTATTCTTGGGCCAGCAGAGGTGGCAAGGGGCAAGGCGGGGTGGCAGAGCCCCAGCACCATTTCTGGACTCTGCTTAGAGCTCTAACTGTTCCCTTTCCTGTGCCTTCAGGGACACCTGGTTCCCAGAGAGAGAGAGAGCAGAGGTTCTACAGGACCTGGACAGAAGGCTACAGGGCAGGTGCTCTTGTGGAAGCACTCCCAGGGCACCTCACAAGCCCCATGTGTGGGCAGCTTGCCAATGAAGGGCTGAGGGCCCCAAGCTGGCTCTGAGAAGTCATCCCAGCCCCCTGTCTGCACAAGCTACTTTCTTGGGCCATTGGCACTGTGTCCCTTCTCCTGCCTCCCAGGGCATGTGCCCCTTAAGTGTAAGTGCTCTGGACAGCCCCAGGAGGGAACATGCCACCTTACCCTGGCACTCATACAGTTGTCGCTGGTGATGTTAGCATCACTCCTGATGAAGCTGATGGCATTATTCAGGCTAACTTCCACATGGACCAACCTGCAGCATAGAAATTGTGGATAGACAGAAATAGCCCCAACAGACATAGTTCTTGCATGTGGATCAAACCACATCCCCCATTTCTTCTCATTGTAACTGATCATCAGGGATTGGGGCCACCAGTGAGCACATGGCATGGGTAAGGAGAGCTCACCCCAAGCCCTTGAGATCAATCTCTGCAGTGAAGACTGACCAGGCATGAGGAGTCCTGCCTGGGGTCAGATGCCCTCCTGGCCATGGGCTAGGTTTCCAAGGAGGGTGGATGGGTGTCACCATCCTGACTTTTCTCAATTTGCAGAGTATGTTGGCTTAGCTCTGATGGCTACCTGGAGCAAAGACTTTCCCTGGGGACATCATCTCCAGTAGTCTCCCTCCTTGGCAGAGACTGGGCTATAGCATATCCCTGAGCATCTCAGGTGACCACCAACAAGGAGAAGTGGAGAGTATGCCCTGAGACTTTGGGAGATACACATGTGCTGCCCCAGCAGAGGTGACATCCCACATCCTATATACCTCATAGTGGCAAAAACTGCACCTGTGGCCCTTGACCTGGGCACTTACTGGTCTGGTTTTTGTATCATTACTCCTGAGCATGTTATGGTGTTATCATCCACAGTGGTGGCTTTTTTATCTAGGAGAAAACCACAAGAGAATAATGTCAAGGAGCATGTCCATCCATCCATCTCCCCTCAGCTGGCCCCTGGCAAGCAGACTAACACTGGCAGATGCCAGCTTCTCTTTGCTGCCTTCCTCTGAGCCCCTGCCATGCACCAGGCTCC